AGAGAGAGAGAGAGTAAATGTGAACCAGGTCTACCCCTAGACCCGGAGGCCAAAGGGGTGAGCTTCATCAAGAAGAGGTTGAAAGTGAGATGTGCTAGCCTAGTCCGCCTGACAAACCATGGTACGAGTCGAGCCAATTAACCCAGGATGATCATTAAGAAGAAACGATAAAGGGAACGAAATCCATGGCTCTTGTCATGCCTGACAGCCCGCCAGTTGTTTATCGTCGTTCGTGCGGTTCCCAATGGATGGGTTCAAAGTCGGAATTCTGGAAATGAGCTTGGTTATACGGAGAACTAGGAGAGAAAAGTCAGTAACGATGTCAATGGTATAATGGATAACCTTGACAGAAAGTACTTTTTGAATGGTGTTGTGACTGGCAACGAGCGACTGAGATTCGGTTTCATCACCAAGGGATTCAGGCGAATCTGCGGGCCGTCCGATAATCGATTAGGCAATGAAGTCATCGGTGGCGGGGCGGAGGATGGCAGCGAGAGTTGTGGAGGAGCAGAGATGGGAATTGACGGAATGGGCGCATGGGTTGGCATAGGCGATTGGTACATGTCTTGTTGTGAGGACATGCGGAATGGACTGGCGGGAGTTGGCGAGACAGAAGACATTGAAGACATGGGAACGCCCATCCCATATGATGTGTCTTGCATCAAATTAGGAATGGCCATCAAGCTTGAATTGACGTCAAATCCGAGAGCAGCTTGGTCCCAGGGTGAGTAGTCGGACGTCATTCCGTATTGAAGGTTGACGATGGGTGCCATGTTCAAAGTTTCGACTGGATAAAGGAGATCGTAATGGCCCCTGTGTTGGAATGTTAAGCTTGATCCAATGCAATTTTGACTGCTAAAGCAACTCACGGTCGGTATAGGAGGCGGATTGTTGCACCATTGGGACTGTTAGAGGACAGTTGGTGAGGTGTCACGACGTCGCCTTCACTTCGGTCGAGGTAGAGAATTTGAACACCAAAGCCAGAGCCTTCGATTACACCGTCGATCAGTGCCTGAAGTCCAACT